AGGCCAGCCTGGGCTACAGAGCGAGATCCAGGACAGGCACCAAAGCTACACAGAGAAACCCTGTCTTGAAAAGAAAAAAAAAAAAGAATCCTTGTCTAAAAAAAAAAGTTGAAGACTGCATTGAAATGGAGGAAATGCGTGTTAGGCATGGTGACCCCTACGTACTGTCCTTGTACTTGGAAGACAGAGGCAGGATGGGAAGGAAGAAGGGAGGGAGAGGAAGGGAAAGAGGGAGAGAGAAAACAGAGCAGGAGTCCTAGACTTCTTGTTCCAGTTGGTAGAATTTGGAGTGAAGGCCCGGGTGGTGGTGGCCCACACCTTTAATCCCAGCACTTGGGAGTCAGAGGCAGGCGGATCTCTGTGAGTTTGAGGCCAGCCTGGTCTATAGACAGAGATCCAGGACAGGCTCTAAAACTACACAGAGAAACCCTGTGTCCAAAAACCAAAAACCAAAAACCAAAAAAAAAAGAAAGAAAAAAAAAAGAAGCTGGAGTGAAGGGAATCATGACAATATTCTGATAGATTTGTGCTCATTCGATGGTGGGTTAATTGTGAATAAAATGTCCACCTTCCCTCTGGCATTATTGTGAGGGCTAATGAACATTATATGCACAAATAGACTTGTAAACTGTGAAGTTCCTACTTGAGTTTGAGGATCTGATTTTATAGTCCATAAAATAAAACAACAAATATCTTGAGATATAGTGATCTCTTTTACTTGTTTGTCTGAGACGAGTCTCACTGTGTACCCCAGGCTGACCTTGAACTCAGAATCCTCCTGTCTCAGTCTCTTACTATTACTTGAGAAATACTTATCTATTGAGTCATTCCTTTACATCTTAATTCCTTGGGTTGATAATTCCCAGGATCCCACAGTGGGGCGTTAGGGTTTTAACTAGAATTCTGTCATAACCAGCGCCTCTGGCCTGTTGTTCTTCGTTCTTCTCAGCTGTGTCCTGACTCTTTCTCGTCTTCCTTCTGTTCTGGTAGTTTGAGGAGCAGCAGGCTTTTGAGAAGAGTCGCAGGTTCCTTCGGCAGCTGGAGATATGCTTTGCAGAGAACCCCTCTCAGCACCAGAAGATCATCAAGGTCCTGCAAGGCTGTGCAGACTGTCTTCCTCAGGACACCACGGAGGTACTCTGTCCTGCGTCCTGCCCATTTGTTTTTCCCTTAGCTCTATTTATGTGTATGAGTGTTTTATGTGCATGTATACATACATAACCAGGCCTGGTGCCCGTACAAGTTAGAAGAGGCATTGGATTCCTTGGGAGTTGAGTTACAGATGGTTGTGAGCTACCATGTGGTGCTGGGAACCTAACCCAGGTCCTCTGCAAGAACAGTAGGTGCTCCTAACAGCTGAGCCGTCTCTGGCCCCCTTGTCTGCTTCTTTTCCTCTCTGCCTAATGTAGTCCGTATCTTTTCCCTCTGGAAAAGTACCATAAACGAAGGCCGAAAGAATGTTTTCTACTTAGCTCCAGTAGGAAGCACAGGAACATGGAGGAATAGCCGCAGGAATCCAGAGCCCGACTGACCCTCACAAGCTCTGTAGGGCCATCAGTACACCGGGAAGGGATTTTGAAGAAAGTGGATGGGGAAAGCTCTGGACTTGACTCCTCATTTTGCTTCTTCAGGAATGGAAAGTGCTGTCATTGGGAATTGCATTTCTGATCAATACTTTCCCTCCCCACCTCACTCACACCCCTCTAAGCGAGCAAGCAGGGAAATGCTTGAGAATTCTTGGCTATCAAAGAAAAGGACCCTTCCAAGCAGTAGTGGCACATGCCTTTAATCTCAGCATGCAGGAAGCAGAGGCAGGTGGATCTCTGTGAGTTTGAGGCCAGCCTGGTCTACAGAGAGTTCCAGGACAGCCAGGGCTACACAAAGAAAGTCTGTCTCAAAAAAATTAGAATGAGCCAGTAAGATGGCTTAGCTGATAAAGTTATTTGCTGCTAAGCCTAACTTACGTGTTTATCTAATTTTTATTTGTCAATAAAAACTTGGGAGTCAGATATTGGGGTAATGACCTGAATGACCAGAGAAGCAGCAGAAAAGCAACCAGTGACCTCCTATCTCTCCTTCCTCTATCCAAAAAGGCTGAGACCCTCTCTAAGCCCTGTGCTACTACTTCCTGTCTCTCTATCATCAGTCCTCCCAAACCTCTATGGTTAATTTTGGTCAGCTAGTAGCTAGTTCTGCCCTCTGATTCAAAACAAACTTTATTGTCAGCCTTGGGAATGTCAGAATGCAATCAAAATATCACAACGATCTAAATTCAATACCTAGGACTCCTATGAAAACAGACTCTAACTTTCATATGTATGTACTGGCCTGTGTGCACTTACTGCCAACACCTGAAGACCTGAGTTTGATCCCTGGAAACCACATGTTAGAAGGAAAGAACTTATCCCTAGAACTTGTCCTTTGACTCCCAAAGGTGTGCTGTGGCATGGGTTCATCCACACAGACAGACACACACACATACACCAAACAAAGAAATAAATATGTGTAATCTAAAAATAAGAGAGTTAAAAGAAAAACAAAAAACCTTGACCCCATGTAGTAGGCAGACTGTGGGTTCCATATGGGACTGGTTTGAGTGAAGTCTAGGAAGATTCTCCATCATTAGCCTTCCCAACTCTCTTCAGCTCAAGACCCAGATGTGGCAGCTCCTCAAAGGCCATGACCACCTGCAGGATGAGTTCTCCATCTTTTTTGATCATCTGCGCCCAGCAGCTAGCCGGATGGGTGACTTTGAAGAGATCAATTGGACTGAAGAAAAAGAGTATGAGGTACAGGCCCTGAGGTTATCCAGGGGAAGGCTGTCTGCTGGAGGGGTTGGTCCAGTCTGCTTTAGTGCCTACAATTCTTGTTTAGTTTGATGGCTTTGAAGAAGTGATCCTCCCTGATGTGGAAGAGGAAGAGGAGCCTGTCAAGGTGTCCACAGCCTCAAAGAGCAAGAGGAGGAAAGAGATTGGGGTCCAGAATCATGATAAGGTATACATGTTTCTGGGAAACACCTGCTTTTCATGAATCAAGCCTTGGATTAAACTCTGCATATATCCATGCTACATATAGGATAGCTCACAGTATTAAGATTGGAGATAATCATGGGTGAGACTGCTGTAAAGAACCCATGAGGCTTCGTTAGAAGGAATCATAGCCAGGGGTATTCCTGCAAGTTCAAAGCTAGCCTAGGCTATATGGTGATACCAGATTAAAAAAAAAAAAAAAGGGACAAAAAAAAGGGGCTGGAGAGATGGCTCAATGGTTAAGATCACTGATTGCTTTTCCAGAGGTCCTGAGTTCAATTCCCACCACCTATAATGAGATCTGGTGCTCTCTTCTGGCCTGCAGGGACACATGCAGGCAGAACACTATATACATAAAAAATAAATAAACAAATCTTCAGATAGTAGTTCATGCTTGCTTTTTTCCCTAGCTTAGAGCTGCCCTTTTTCTTACCTTTGGGTTTTAATTTTTCAGTTTTTGCCCATGGAAGGAAATAGAATCCTCTAATGATAAACATAGCAGTGTATTACTGTGTGGCAGCATGTAGATTATTAATTAGTGCGTATAATTGTCATAGTAATCCTGAGGAAGGTTTTATTTATATAATTAAAGTACAGAGAAGCTAATGTCAGAGTGACCTCTTCAAGTGTCCATCCTGGGACATAGACGTAGGGGACTTAGTTCCAGCTCTGGGGTCTGCTCACATTGAGCACAAAAGAGCCTTGGGTTAAGATGAGCAGTGGGTAAAGGTACTTGGCCAAGCCTGATGCCTAGAGTTTGGTCACCAAGACCCAGATGTTCTCTGTTCTCTGACTTCCATGCATGTGCTGTGACAAGCGTGTGCACAGATATAGTTAGAAAAATCGGTGTGTTAGTTTTAAAGAAAAGTGTGTGTAGGAATATATCCGTGTGCTTGCAGGTGACCACAGAGACCCCAAGAATGTGTAGGTTTCCTGTAGCTGAGGTAATGGTGGTTTATGCACCTCCTGATTTGGGGACTCCTGAACTCAAGTCCTATGCAAGAGCGGTACAGAACCGCTGCTCTTACTGATGCACCACTGCTTCCCCCAAGATCAGTCTATTTTTAAAGATATTATTATTATTATTATTATTATTATTATTATTATTATTATTTGAAATAGAGTCCCTATGTAGCCCTGGCCCTGGAACTATGTAGACCAGGTTGGCCTCAAAGTCAGAGATCTACATGCCTGTATTCTGAGTGCTGGGATTAAGGCATGGGCCACTATACCCAGCTTTTTTTTTTTTTTTTTTTTTAATTTACATTTATATACTTTGTTGGGGTGGGGGCTACACATGTACCATGGAACATTTGTGAAAGTCAGAGGACAACTTGTAGGTATTTTCTCCTACCATTTGGGTACCAGGATTAAACTTAGGTCCTCAGGCCTGGCAGCAGGTTCCTTTAACCACTGAGCTATCTCACTAGCCCAAGAGGAAGTCTTTTTGTTGTTTTGGGTTTTTCTTGTTTTTTTGAGACAGACTTTCTTTGTGTAGCCCTGACTGTCCTGGATCTCACTCTGTAGATCAGGCTGGCCTCGAACTCAAGGGATGCACCTGCCTCTGCCTCCCAAGTGCTGGGATCCAAGGTGTGTCTTGGCTTATTAAGTGAAGAGTCACTATACAAAGCCCTGTAGAGAGCACATAAGAGGACAGAAAGTCAGTGAATGGGATCTCACTTTGGAGCTCTCCAGTGCATTTCCTCAAAATCTGTTTGACTTAAGTCTGCCCCAGGCCTGTGGGCTGCTGCTTCCTTTGGATCACTGTGGATTCTTTCAAGATTCATAGGAGGCTGACGTTGAGGGTGAGTCAGTGACCTCCAGGGTGATAAGATGGTACATTAGAAAAGAGTGAGTGGAAAGGGCATCTTCATAACTCAGGCCTTTCAACTCAGCTCTGTTTCTTGGTTCTGAAAATCCTAGTCAGCTAATCAAGCTGGGGTATCTTGTAGGAGACTGAATGGCCTGAAACGGCCAAGGACTGTTCCTGTCCCTGCCACGAGGGTGGCCCTGATTCTAGGCTGAAGAAAAGCAAGAGGAGAAATTGTCACTGCAGCAGCAAGGTGAGGAAGGGGCTTAGTGTGCTGGGGCTGCCTAGGCCGCACTGTGCAGGTGCTGGCCGGGTTTGTGCTGGTGGAGATTGGTGCCAGTGGGGTTGGTTTTTTGTTTTTTGTTTTTTTTTTTCTAAGATAGGGTCTCTCTACATAGCCCAGGCTGTCTTGGAACTCACTATGTAGATGAGGCTGCCTCAAACTCAAAGAAATCCTTCCTCTGCCTCTAAAGGTATGTGCCAACATGCCTGGTTAGATGCTGTTTTTCTTCTACAGATTTATGTCTTGAACTTAGAAAGTGAACACATGTATCAGATTATATGCGGTACACACACATGGGCACATATATAAAACAAAAGGACCCTTCTACAAACCCAAAATGGAGCCAGGTGCTTGGCCTGTAAGCTTAGCACTAAAGAGGTAGAAACAGGAAGATCAGGAGTTCAAGGTTATCCTCCACTACATAGCAAGTGTGAAACCAGCCTGGGATATAGAACACCCTCTCTCCAAACAAAATGAACAAAAGAAATGTCAGGGAGATTTTGCTGTTGTTTGTTTTTGTCTTCAGATAGTGGCTTATTACATAGCGCAAGTTGACTTCAGACTCACTGTCCTCCGGTCTCTGTGCTCTTAGCGTTGGGACTACTAGCATGAGTCACAGCAGTCAGTATGTGGTGCTGTGATCAATTCCAGGGCTCTTTGTATGGCAGGCAAGCACTCAACCAATTGAGCAACATCTCTCTCTACTCTAGTTTCTGGGTGGCAATAGTTAGTTTTAAAGACTTATTCATTGTGGATACAATGTTCTGTCTGCATGTATGTATGCCTGCATGCCAGAAGAGGGAGCCAGATCTCATTAAAGATGGTTGTGAGCCACCATGTGGTTGCTGGGGATTGAACTCAGGACCTCTGGAAGGGCAGCCAGTGCTCTTAACCACTGAGCCATCTCCCCAGCCCCGAGATAAGGTCTCTTGTAGCCATTGCTAGCCTCAAATTGACCATGTAGCCAGCTCACCTTGAATTCCTGCCTCCACTACTTAAGTGCTAGGATTACAGTTGCATTTTGCTTTTTAAATTATTTTTCTTTTCATTTTATGTGCATTGGTGTTTTGCCTGCATGTGTGTCTGTGTGAGGGTGTCAGATCCCCTGGCACTGGAGTTACAGACAGCTGTCAGCTGCCATGTGGGTGCTGGGAATTGAACGTCTGGAAGAGCAGACAGTGCTCTTAACCACTGAGCCACCTCTTAAGCCCCCTACAGTTACATTTTGCTTTTTAAAGAGAGTCTTTGATTTGAAGAAATTACAGTCCACACCTGTAATCATAGAACTTTGTAGGCATTGACAAGAAGCTGGGAACTAAGATCCTCTATAGCATGTTCCAGACAGCCAGGGCTAAAGACCCTGTCTTAAAGAAAACTAGTGGCTAAAGAGACAGTTCAGCAGTTAAGAACCGGCTGATCCTCTGAATAGGTGAGACAGTTGATTGGCTTGATTAGTTTAGGAGGCAACTAGGCAGTGGGACCAAGTCCTGTGCTCATTGCATGAGTTGGCTGTTTGAAACCTGGAGCTTATGCAGGGACACTTGGCTTAGTCTGGGAGGAAGGGACTGGACCTGCCTGGACTGAGTCTACCAGGTTGATCGCAGTCCTCAGGGGAGGATTTGCCCTGGAGGAGATGGGAATTTTTAACCTAGACAGTCCCCTTGCAGGTCTGTGACAGCAAATGCTGTAAGAGCAAGGAGCCCCTCGAGCTGGTGAGCAGTAGCCCCCTCCAAGAGGCCAGTTCGGTGCCTGGAAGTAAGGAAGCAGGACAAGGCAAGGACATGCTGGAAGAGGAAGCCCTAGAGGAGCAGAATACTGCAGCAACCCAGATTAGGACTGGCAAGGCCACCAGAAAGGGAGAGACACCCATTCCAGGTGAGTAACCTGACTACCACGCTAGGACTTCCCTCCTCCCTGCCAGCCTCATTTCTCTGCACTGCAGGCAGCCTGATGGGCCGGGCTGAGTGGCAGCCCCTTTTCCCCTTCATCTTTCCCTCCTAAAACCGTTAGGAAGCCTGGCAGTGGCGGCGCACACCTTTAATCCCAGTACTGGGGAAGAAGGGACAGGCGGGTCTCTGAGTTTCAGGCCAGCTTGGTCTACAGAGTGAGTTCCAGGAAAGCCAGGGCTAAATAGTGAGATCTTGTCTCAAAAATAACAAAACCAAGATTCCTGGCATCTTTTCCTAGTCTTGTTTGGTCCTTTGCTTGGCGGCTGCCCATTCCCTCCACCAGTCTTTCCAGTGGAACTATGTTCTGGTAGCTCACCAGACTTGTGGTTTTCAGTGTATACCTGACCCCCACCTTCCTCCTCTGCAGGGTCTACAGCAGGGAGTACTTTGCCCAACTCTGCAGAAGTGACTCTCATGGAGCAGCCCTTGGAGGGTCCAACGTTTTGTTCACAAGAGACTCCTCAGCTTCCTCCTCAGACTGGAGTTGTGCTCTCTGTTAGGAGAAACCAGGCTGGGCCTGACGTCTCCTGCCTTGGTACATCCACCATACTTCCTGAAGAGGGCGAGGACCAAAAGGCTGCTGCTAATTCAGAGACTACTGTGTCACTCCCAGACGAATCAGAAACCGAGACCCTGCCAGGCACTGTGGAGCTCCCTGCTTCCTCGAGGACCAGAGACGCAGGGAGAAGCTATGGGAAAGCAGGTTCACAGAGCTGGCTACTTGAGGGCAGAGTGGAGGCAAAGACCGAGCACACAGTGGCCTCTGTCTGTGGAACTTCCTCAGCAGTCACTCCTAAAGCCGCCAGAGGGGCCATGGCCGACGACGGTGGAACCCAAGGCAGGGGTCCAGAGGAGGCTGTGCCGAAAGCCTCCGAAGCCACCGTCTGCGCCAACAACAGCAAGGTCAGCTCCACCGGGGAGAAGGTTGTACTGTGGACAAGGTAGGTAAAGACGAGCTGTTTTTCAGAGTGTGACACAGATCCCAATGGGCCCTCAGGCCTGACTGTGCTGCCTGGGTTACAGGGAAGCTGACCGAGTGATTCTCACCATGTGCCAGGAGCAGGGCGCACAGCCTCACACCTTCAGCATTATCTCTCAGCGGCTGGGAAACAAGACCCCTGTGGAGGTGAGGCGGGAAGGGGCGTATGATGATGGGGGACAAAGGCGGCAAGAGGATGGGGCAACGGGGTTTACAGTCAGAAGGAGACAGGATTTTCACTGTGTCCCGGGCTACCCTAGAACAATGTGCACGAGGTTGGCCTTGAACTCAGTGATCCATCTGTCCCTCCCTCCTGACTGCTGCCCCCCCCCCCCCAAAAAAAAAAAAGGTTCTGGTTTTGTTGCTGGGGAAACTGTTTTGTCTGTGGCATTCTCCTAGCTGTACAGAAGACACACACTCTGTATAGTAGCGGGTGCCCAGTTCACCCTAAGAGACTGGAGCCGTGAGCACAACCTTTTCCTCTGCTAGGTCTCCCACCGCTTCCGAGAACTCATGCAGCTTTTCCACACAGCCTGTGAGGCCAGCTCTGAGGACGAGGATGATGCCACCAGCACTAGCAATGCAGACCAGCTCTCTGACCATGGGGACCTGCTGTCTGAAGAAGAGCTGGACGAGTGAGACCCTGGGAAGGTACGGGTGTCATCTGCCAGGACCAAACCAACAGCCTTCTGTAGGAGGGTGAACTTTGAACTCCTGTGGAGCTAACTAAGGACAGAGTCAGTCTGGAGATAGATAGCTCTGTGGCCTGTGTCTCTCAGGGACCTCAGTGAGGACCTTACAAACCAATCTGTAAATAGCACTGGAGGGGAATGGGCTTAGCTCCTTGTCTGGCGATCTCAGTGTTTTAAATATACAAATGCCTGGGTCATGCAGCAGGTTCCAACACACTGGGTTCCCGCACCCAGCAGCTTTTATTACAAATGACCTCCCTACTGCCCTCCCTGAACGTCAGTTGGAAAGGCTGTCCCCCTCCTGGTAACACTGGGCCAAGCTGTGTAAGTCCTGCAGCAGCTCTTCCATGTCATCCTGCTCCACCCCAGCATCCATGAAGCTAGCCCAGCGCCGCAGGTCAAGTCTGCTGAGCTCCTCCGCCAAATCTCCCAGGGTCTGGTGCAAGGATGAAGATGAGCGCAAGGCCCCAAACACAGGGATGCTCTGCACTGCTGCAGACGGAGAGAGAAGGGGCTGAGTGGACTGATCCTGCTCTAGCACTGGTAGACTGGCCGTGAAGTTCAGCAGGCGAGCAGGTTTGCCGTCTGGTGTGCCAGTAAGTACTCCAGAGCAGCTTGTAGCCGAGTGAGTAGAGGATGCTCAACTGTGAACTTTTCTTTAGCACTTTCAATTCACGAAGAGAAAAAGTAAAACTGCTCCCGTGTAGGGGGAGTGTTAATTTTCTTCATGTCTTACCTGCGCCCTTGGGGGGACCGTCCAGGGCCAGTCCCTTGTGACTTAAGCTTGAGAAGAGGCGTGGGTAAGGAGGGGCCACTCTGCAGGGGGTCAGCAGCAGATACGATGAGCTGCAGGTAGAGGGTGGTGATTCAGGGAGCAGGGAGGCAAAGGCTGCGGGTGCAAAAGCTGCAGGCAGCCTGCAGCAAAAGCCGAGTGCGATACTGACCTTAAAACTCTAGGATGGTGCTGTTGTAAATACTGGGCCAAGACTTCTTCTCCAGAGGCACAGGCATGGAGAGCGGAGGGCAGAGGCGTCCCTGGGTGGAGCTTGCTGCCAGAACAAAGCCAAACCCACATTTACTCTTTGGCTGCATGAGTGGGAGCCAGGAATTCTTACATTCTTGGACCATCAGTTCATCAGTCCAGGGCTTTTTGTTTTTTAACATGAGGCATTTATGGTGGTAGGAAGAAAGTGTCCCATTAGAATGCCTAGACATTAGGGAGACAAAGACATGAGCAAGTCTGACAAGGGCCTCTCAAGAACCCAGTCTTTACCTGGTATGGCTTGCTCTGTCTATACCTCTCAGCACCACTGACTGGGCAAAGCACCGACTTCCAGCAGAATGCCCACAAGCAGACAGTGGGGTCCATGGGGTGGCTCCTCCAAGCTGCACCAGGATGTCAGGAAGTGACTGCCCTGGAACCAGTGGGAAGGGGATGATTGCCTCTGCTGTCACCACCTAGAGACCAGGAGGGATCGGGTCACAGAGCCTTTCCTCACTCTGGCCCAGTCCCTTGGAAAGCTTCTCACCTTTCTCCCAGAGAAACTCAGCAGATCAGCCAAGTGAGCCATGGGAACCATGGAGGAGCGCAGGCGATAGGGAGCAGTGACCGTGTCCAGGGCTGTAGCCAGGATGGCGCTACAGTGCAAGGGCAGAGTGGCCTGTCAGGTGGGACAGGAGGGGAAGGAACACTGGGTCATCTGGTGTGGAAAAGCGTGGGGGTAAAGCAGCCAGCGCAGAGACCCAGGGAATGAAGTAAGGCTGTTTCTCCTGAGGCTGGACACACATGAGGCGCTAAAAGGTCAACTTCAAGCTGGGAACCCGACTAGGCATTAAAAATGCTTCCCAAGTATGTGCTGGGGTCCTAGGTTCAGTCCCTAGCAACACACGTGACAGGGGCTAGAGAGGAGGAGCAGAACCACAGTAAAGGGGCTGACACAAACCGAGCTTCGAGCCTTACGTCGTAGTGTAGGTAAGGGAAGTTGACAGGTGGCTTGGGTCGCAGGCCCAGGCTCCCTCCCAGGGATAAGGGACAGACAAAAGAGCTGTACCCAGTCAGGTTCACCAGACCAAATGCTGTGTTTAGGAGACGATAGATATTCTTCTGGGGCTCCTGGTAAAAGAAATGAGAGTTGATTGTCCACACACCTTCCTCAGGGGGGTCCTCTCCTTCCCACCAACTCCGCCGTTTGGCATCAGCTTCCACTCACCCCAAGATTGTAGGGCCCAGGGAGTAGACCCCACGTTATTACCCCCCGTCCTGCATACTCGTCCTGCAGCAGCTCTGCAGTCTTGGCACCCACTCCAGAGAAGCCATCGTGCAGGTCACACAGGATCTGGAAGCCCTGGAAAGATGAAGGCCAACAGGAAGTAGACTGCAGGATGAGAAGAGCTTTTGCCCCAGCATGCACCTGGCCTTAGAGCTACCTGCAAGTAGTCACATTCTTCCACATAGAAATGCAGCCTGTCCTCCAGCTCCTCCAGGTATCGGGGCTCCTTCAGGACACTCTCTCCTTGGCCAAAAGCCTCCAGCCGACCTGTTTCACTACCAGAAATCACCATGATAGCAGACTGGCCTGCCCTCAACGCCTCAGTCTGCTGTTTTGGGGGGGCGGGTGAGCCGGCTCCAGCCTCTGGAGTCCCCGTACCCGTCATGGTTGTACTTCTGGATCACACAGATGCTCCGCGGATGGAGATGCACTCTGAGGAAGTCTGACCAGACTCTGATGCTGTTCTCTAGGGATAAATGGGTTTGGATTTGTACCAGGGATGACTAGTGGGCAGCCATCCCCCAAGTCCCTGCTCTGTTCAGTCTCCAGCCTCAAGGGATAGCTCACCTTTGCCATTTTGGAGAGGTTTGGCCCTCCAGACACCATCAGTACTCAGAACTCCCTGGGAAGGGTGAGAAAACTGACATTCAGTTCTAGGAAGGTCTCCTGTATCCATGGGTTTATCTTATGTGTGCCCCTGTGAATTTATGTGCACCACAGGCATGAGGTGCCCAAAGCTGGAAGAGGAGTTAAATCCCCAGGAACTGGTTATAGGTTGTTGTAAACTGCCCAGCGGGCAAACTCGGGGTCCTCTGTACGAACAGCTTGGACTCTTAACCTCTGAGCCAGATTACAGGTTCCTGCCAGTTTAGAGCCAAAGCTGCTTTTTCCAAAAAACCGAGTGTTTCTAGGGCATTCACAGTGACTAGACTCCATCTTTTCTGCTCCACACAGCCCCTTAGCTTGCAGTAGGTTTACAGGTTTGGGGCAGAGCCCATCACCTCTGCGCTCAGAAGGTCCTGGAGGTTAGGGTTCTTTGGGTATGCTTCTTCTCTGTGTGTGGTGAGCTTTCCTTGCCTGAAAAAGAGTGGAGATTAAGCAAGAAGGTGTCCCTCTGATGATCTGTCCAGCCTTCTATGCACACACACCGGACCCCTCACCCCTCTCATACATCAGATACACACCATGCTACTGCAGCCTCTAGCTGCCGGTCCTTGTAGAGGGCTCCTTCTTCCTTTAGTGTGTTCAGACTGCCTGCACAGAAGGGAAAGAAGCAAAGCCTAGAGGATAATCTCCTCCCTCAGACTAACCTCACCACCTCCCAGGTGATGTGCTGTGGCAGTGTATATGGCACGTGGCAACTTTTTGTTGTGCTTTCGAGATGAGGTCTTCCTATGTATCCCTGAACGGTTTACACTGTGTAGACCAGGTTGGTCTTGAATGCTGGGATTAAAGGCGTGTCCAACCGCGCGGAGCAATGTGCTTGGCCTTTTAAAGCCTACTTGGAAATACGTTAGATGGGATGGGTAATCTGGACTCCATCTTTCTGTCAGTAGCTTAACTGTATACCGCCCATTCCAGAGCCAGCTCTAGAGTTGAACAGTCTCGCTCTCCAGCGTCCTCTGGGGGCTTGTCCCAGGTGTGGGTTCTCCTGTGAACTAATGCTAAGGGCCTCACACGCAAAACGACAAAACTTAGCCGAGCTCCGCCACCGCCTCACCTTTCAGATCCATGAGGATGAGTCGCGGCGTATAGGTTTCCTGGCCATGTAGCGTCCGACCGGTTCGGTACAGGACGTCCGGGCACAGCTCCCCCGGCGACTCTTCGCCATCGATCGAATATCTGAGCGCAGCATCCTGCAGGGTGCAGAGCGCTGAGCGGAGTGGGAAGGAGGGCCATGTACCTTCTGCGGGGAGCGCCGGGCCGCCGCTAGGGGACTGACCTGCTGGTTCCACCAGTGGGCCCCGACGAAACCCGCGAAATGTCCCAACTGCAGCGTGAGCACCTCGCGGGCCCCGCCCGCCATGCCGCCGTGGCTGCGCAGCACTGCACCGCCCCGGGCCTGGGCCCCCGGGGGCGGGTCAAGGGGGCGTGCCAGGGGCGGGCCCCGCGCCCTATTGGCGCTTGAGCACGTGCTCTCCCGTTGGCCACACGATTCGTTAGTCTCCGAGGCGCGGCTTACGCCCCGCCTCTTCCTCTCCTGGGTTGCCGGAAGCCGCTGCGTCCTTGCTGGTGTCATGCCATTCCCTATGGGCTTCCGTGGGCGCCTGTTTTGGCCAAGGTCATGGAAAGGTCTCTCTCCTGTTTCTGTCACTCTTCTCGCTGATGCCTCCCTCCCCTAGGTAATAATTCACGCGAGAAAAAACCTGACGAGGAACTCGACCCTCCTCTGAATCCTCCCACTCACCTCCTTTCCCCACCCCTAAGGTCCCAGCCTGGCAAAACCGGTGGCCATCTATCTGCTGCTGTTACGTTATGGAAAAGATTGGAGTCCCCTTTTTGCATGTACAGATGTTTCATTTGCACTGTTTTTATTTTCTTATTAATTTGATTTGTTATTTGAGTTATTTTGGGAGACAGGCCCACTGTGTAGACCCAGGCTGGCTTCAAACTCAGAGATCCTCAGGGCTCTGCTTCCCGAGTGCTGAGATTAAAGGCGGGTGCTACTAATAAGGCTGGGGACATTCTTTTATGTATTTATAAGTTTTTGGATATCCAGTTTGCAAAGAATTTCCAAGCCGCATGTGATGGCACAAACCTGTGATCCCTGTTTTTGGAAGTGGAGGGAGACCAGATCAATTCTTAGCTCCATATCTAGTTGAAGGTTCACTTGAGAGACCATGTCTAAAGTACAAAACAAACTCAAACTCAACAAATTATTATTCCCAATATCTTGCTTATGTTTTTTTTTGGGGGGGTAGGAGGTGGCTGTCTGGTATTTATAGCAGTAATTATTCTGAACATAAATCCACTGTTAGTAAAACCTATAGAAAATACTTGCCAGGTGGTGTTGGCGCACGCTTTTGATCCCAGCACTCTGGAGGCAGAGCCAGATGGATCTCTGTGAGTTCGAGGCCAGCCTGGTCTACAGAGCGAGATCCAGGACAGGCACCAAAGCTATACAGAGAAACCCTGTCTCGAGAAAAGAAAATACCTTCTATTGAACAGCATTTTGTCTTTATGACGATGACATCTGTTTTATGCTTTGGTGTGATCAGTTTTTAATATTTGTGTGCGGGTGTGTTCAACCCACAGCGTAAGTCAGAAGACAAGTGGAGGGAGTTGGTTCTGTGGTGCCGTGTGGGTCCTCAGGTTCAAACTCTGGTCTTAGCAGCAAGCTCTTCTTACATTGCGCCCCCTGCCTGGGCCCGTTTCTTTACTCATACTTACATTTTTATTTGGGGTTTGTCGTGAGAATTCCTTTTCTGGGAACATCTACTACTATATCCTGTAC